TTTTCAGTGCGAAATTTGAAACATCGAATCACACTGCCATATCGTCGAATGGTCGTTTTATGCGTAACTGCGCATGCGTGATAAATTCAAATTAGTACTATTTAATCTATCATTAAACGAATAATTTATGCGATAAACTATCACAACATACATGAACACATCAAATAATATACATTCTTTATTATGAAACTACAATTTGATAAGAGAAGTGTGTATCAGGAAAAATAACACAAAATATTTACTATGCAAATTGTGCCACTCACCATGTATGGTAATTGGACAGAGTTTACCTACACTAGAAAAGCCTGATTTTGGGGGGTTTTTGGGCCAAAAAGTAATTTTAAAATGATTCAAGCCAAATAAAAAAAAAATGTCCTGGAGATATTCACACAAGCTATCATGATGCCAAGTTTCAGAAAAATAGACTGAAGGGTTTTTGAGATATCTTTGTCTACAGCACACGGACTACGGCCTACGGCTTACAGATTGTGATAGCATTAGTCCGTTGGACCGTTGGTCCAAAGGACTAAAAAGCAGTGTTCACTTTGATTTTGTTTTTTTCAATAACAGTCATGTGCATATTGGAATGCACATATTTATAGGAATATACAGTGAACAAATTTTAAATGTTCACATGGATCTTGTTTATCAGATTGTAATAACAGTTTTACTACATTTTTGTATTAGCAAATAATCAAACAAGCATTTTTCTAGAATTTGTTTATTTTTTGAACCAATTGGGCTTACTTTCCCATTGCATACAGGTCTTTTTGGAAAAAGATTGATTTGTGAAAGGTGGTCAAAGGGTTAATGTGTTCACAGAGAGTATACACTAAATCTGTCAAATAGACAAGGTTCTGTACTTTGCTACAATGGATCATAAATTAAACTGGGAATATATCACTCACCTGTCCTTTGTGATTCACAGTGTTGACTGATGCACCATACAATAATAGTTCATTAACAACTACGTCTTGTCCATTATGACATGCTACATGCATAGGAGTGTTACCAAATGCATTTGGTACGTCAATCTAAATAAAACAGTGTTAACTGTTAGTCTCCTTAATCTATCCAACATGATGACTTGATATCAAAATTGGTATACTTCTTTGCTTAGTAAAAATTTGTAAATTGGTAAAGTTCGTTGAAGTAATGTACAATATTAAATTGCACACTGAGACCATTCATACAGCTGTATTAGGGGCTATTATGTGTTACATTTAATGATCTAAATTTTTTTGAATTGCAGGAGATATTTACTAATTATTCAAATTTCAATCACTTTCGAATGATGATTACTTCTGCTTTCCATTTGATTGTGTTATATTTTCACAAAGATTAGTTTTTGATTCCAAATTACTGTGGCTCGCAGTATTCCAAAGCTGTATCAAAAATATTTCCCTCAATCTGAACATATTTTGACCATCAAATATTTTGCATAATAATCCTTGGTTCTCTCAAAGTAGCTCTAAAAAAAAATAACCTGTACTGACCTCTACTCCCATGTCGAGTAATAATTTGACCACAGAAATCTGACCACTAGCGGAGGCAGCATGTAATGGTGTATACATCTTTTTATCTTTACATCTGACATCCGCACCATGACTGATCAGTCTTTTAACAATGTCTACATGACCTATTGTATTAAATCATACAAACCATCATGGTTAACAAGCTTCTCCAAAACAAACAAAAAAAGATGTTTTAGATCAGGAATCAAATTTGCTATGTTGAATATCATAATACTGTTCAATAAGAAATTGTCATTGGGTTTAATTTTTGTGGATAATTTGATAATGCAGGAATATTCACCGGTTTGTGAACGAAACAATACATTCTATTGATAAATTAGAATAAGTTTTATTGTCAAGCCCCCATACAGTACATGTAATGCTGAGAACAGAAAGTCAAATGTCAAGGTTCCACAAACTACATTTAGACAAGATACTAATACACTATTGTGATAAATAACATTATTAACAGCATTGATGTAAATTCAGAGATTGGCTATATTAAATGAATGATTTCATAACTAAACACAGTTCTCTATATTAAATGAATGATTTCATAACTAAACACAGTTTTCTATATTAAATGAATGATTTCATAACTAAACACAGTTCTCTATATTAAATGAATGATTTCATAACTAAACACAGTTCTCTATATTAAATGAATGATTTCATAACTAAACACAGTTCTCTATATTAAAATTACCCTTGGCTGATCAATTTTAGCTAGCTGTTCAAACATGGATATGTCATAGGATGAACATATCGTACTCGACCGCGTTAGCGCCCAGGGGCCTCAACTCAGAAAATCACGATTTTGTAGGGGTGGGCGCTTATCCAAGCACCACCCTCGAAAAAAAGTGCAAATAAAAATTTTTATTTACCACGTGACAGATTACGTCTTTGAGGGAAAATCAAATTACTAAATTAGTTGCGTCGTCATTGATTTTCACAATGAAGAAACAGAAATGATCACAAAAAATACGCACATTTTATTGCAATATTAATTACGTACCACCATAATTTACGGAATTAAAAACATTTGAGTCTGTTGGAACACAGTCGAAGTCAAAATTGTCATATTATTTCCACTGACGAAGTTGTTGGATCGTACGCAAACTCTCGATGAAAATCACTTTCCGCCATGTTGCAATTGCAGATTTAACCTACAGCAGCGTCCTTTGACCTAATGGGTCAAGTTGGTTATTAACTAATCAGAATGCTGTGTTGTACTGACGCAATTCTTCGAAAATTCCCGAAGACTTTCCGGTAACGCAATGCGGAAGTGAATAATCGATGTTGAAGCATGATGTGTTGGAATTGATTTCAGCGAATAAACGACATGGTTATTTCCAAAAACTAGTAACTAGCCATTTTTGAGAGGTAAACTGAATATGGCATGAAATATTTATCGCATTTTACTTGTATTAACAGGTCATTGTCGAAGCGTAGTTTACGCACGATTACCGTGTTCTACGCATTCACAACATGTTCACAGCAATCGATATCCATGCTGTATTATATAAAAACGATTACCAAGATTCGTTACGCAAGACCAAGTTTTAAATTAGTTACATTTTGAAGGGGTGGGCGCTTTGCCGAATGTGACCCCAAATATAAAAATTGGGCAAAACTGGGGGGTACGGTCGAGTACGGTAGTATTAATTACAGAAGAAGAAAAAAACATTTGGAAAAACTTATTTCCACTTTTTTTTTACATTTATACCTGCTGCAGAAATACATACCCATATATGCACTCCAGTGAATGGCTCTACGGTCACGTTTATCAAATGCGTTTATACTGGCACCTTTGGATAACAGTAAATCAACCATCTAAAATGCACAAACAGAAAACAAAATAAACATTTGACAAACTATAAACCATAACTACAGGGTTCTCCACGGTTTGAAAATTAAACAGGGCGCGCCAATGTGAAGTGGGCGTGGCACATTTGAAACGTGCATCATTGGCAAGGATGTTAAAAAATGGAAACCAAATAATCTATTAATCTACATATTATTACATATTCATAATATATATTTATTATTACAAAATGAATAGGGATTTTGAAGAGCTATTATTAAGTAAACGTCAGCACGTACAATCAGCTGATTTTAGCTGCACGATTCCTCAAGCGGCGACATCAGTTGTTTACAAGTAATGATCGCGTCCAGAAAAAGACGTAACAAGTTTGTTAATTTATTTTCCCAAATAGATCCATACATGCTTTATTTAATTTTTAGCAAAAATTTATATTTATGATTTAGATTAATTTGGACGAAGCAAAATAAAATGTATGTCGCACAAACGTTCGTAATTGATTCATT